CCTGAGCAACTTCCCAACCTTTCCATCTATAAAGCAGTGGCACTGGGGGGGAATGACTGGAACATCCTCCTCAAAAGCTCTCTGGCACGGGCAATGCAGTCGGAACTGGATGAACAGCATCCGTTGCAAAAGTGTGTGAACGAACCACATGTTTCAAACGACTGGGTCCAATCTCCATTGAAAAAGTTGACAATGCTTGAAATGGTCTCAGCATCATGGTTGAAAGTGTGGCCGAGGATTTCACAATAAATCTTCTGTGTCTTACCCCACTCAACTGCACTTGGCGGAAGTTCACAGACGATTCGCCTGTCAACACGGCTTGCGATCAATGTAAGTCCTTTGTCAAACAAATCTTGAAATTTGCTGGACCTCATAGCCCGCGTGAACCTGACGATTGCAGAACACAAATTGTCAATCTGAAGCAATCCAGGCTTCTTTGCAAGGCATGCTTGATGACTCAGGCAGTTTGTTTCAAAGAACAATGTTGATGCCCCTTGCTTGCACCCATCTTCGCTCCTCTTACACCAACCGATTTGTTCCGCGGCCTGAACGTTCTTGTTTGTTGGGAGCGCATCAGCCACGTGCACAATCAGTTTCAGCCCCACCTCCTCAAACGCTGACCATAATCGTTCGCCCCCATACTGCTCTGCACATCCCTCGCTGCACAACACACTCCACCTACACATTCTGTGTCTGAGGGTTGCAAAATTTGCCCGCGGTAGGAGTTGCGAGGGCGAGTGCAATTGAAGCACAACTCCAGGCCCCGCAGCCTCCTTCAGGCCTGGTCTCCGAAGAAACACGTATTGGAGCATTCCTAATAAGCTTTGCATTTTCTTCATACCGTGTTTCTTCCGCAGAGTCTCTGTTCCTGTCTCATCAACTTTCCTGCTGACAGTGGTGCTGCTGACCCAAACATTAGTGTCATCTGCGATTACCACAATCACTGCATGTTTGGGTTTACTCTGATTCTGGTTCTCCTGCATGTGCGAGAGGATGGAATGCCTTTGCGCGGTCAAATGACTCAAAATTCCAATGGCTTTCTGTCTGCCAAGGGATTGGTGCATCTGTGATTCATAATCGAACGCCTCCACACATCCCGAATCTGACAAGAAGAGCGCAAGATTCTGAGACGTTCTGATGTTGGAGGCGGTCGCTTTTGATGCGAAACTTGCAAACACGTTCCTCACTAGATCCAACTTGGGGTCATTGAGCGCGGTATGGAAAGTGGCAGCCTGTCTCAATCTAGCTCGCAAATGCCCTAGCTTGCATTTTGCACTGTGATCTTCCCCTCGTGAAAAGCACCAGTGTGATGTGTCCTGGTCCAGGGTTTATGCTTCAGGGTCCTGTGAACTGTGTTGAAATTCCAAACGGGAACGTGTCAAACAATGTTTGAATCAGTTTTTTTGACCTGTGTCTGAATCATTGCGCCTTCGTCTTCGGCCTCTGACTCGGAAGTAAGCAATTGCCCCCGCGCAGCACGAGAGAAGCCAGCCCGCCCGGCATCTCTCACAGCAGTGGACTCTCAGCTAGAGTTCAAAGGCAAAGTTTGGGTCTAGTAAATTACGTAGTTGAAACGAGGTCGAGGCCCATTTGGTTCCACCTGAACACCTTCAACATCTGTACCTTGATTTTGTTGTGCGGTGTAGTCTCTAAGCTTTAACTTAACTGAATCAGTTCACTCATTGTCATTCATTGTTGTTCTAAAAGGGATGCTTCTGGAGCAGCCGAAGCAGACACGATCGAAAACGACTGGGGCAGCCAGACACGCACTCCGTGTGTGAGAAAGAAAGCCAGTGCTGGTGCGCCTCGAACCTCGCATCATCATTCTCCATCTTTCTACTTTTCTTCAAGCAACCTTGCACATTCTCTAAGATGAAGAACCTCGGATTCGGATGAGGTGAAATAGGCCTGTGACTTGAGAGGTCAATCCACTCAGCCCTTGACCGTGGCCGGCGCCGCTGAATGTGACGGAGCGTCTCGTGGAAAGGCAAAATCTTCCAGGCCCTGCAAATTTGACCACTAATGTCAGTGTAAGTTGTCAGTGTTGGCCGGAGTCCACTCTCATTCCATTCTCAGTCTCAGTCAGTTTAAAGTCCAGTCAACCTTTTCAAGTCTCAGTCTAGTTCAAGACGACGGGATGATTTCCAGACAAGGGGCATTGCTGCTTCCTAGATCAAAAAGCTCATCCAAACGCTGCCGAAATCGAGATGCCGATTCCTGCACAGTTAGCCAGCCACGCAGCCAGGAGTTACCCAGCTGACTCAACTGTAGCCACTGCAGTTTTGAACTTAACCTTCAATTGAAATAGTGTCAGCCCGGGTCCTGTGAAAAAGCCTTGCATACAAATCCCACTACATACAGATCTTCTTTTCTGTAGTCCTGCAGGTCAGGGCCAGTGGAAGGATCAGTCAACAGACCCTTGCACCGATACAGCCTGATCTCGCCAATGTGGAAGTGCACTCTGTTCTGCACAATCCACTGCGCAATAACCGCCCTCCCTGTCAGGTGTCACAAATCGCGCAGTGAAGACAGAACATCCACCAAATGAAATCGCCTCGCAGCGGTCATACTGGTGTAGCAACGCATTGGGGACGTGTTCTTCAAGAGAAAATCACGCGTTGGCGCCTGACATTGTCTTCCGAAGTCTGAGTGATTCAGCTCTCTTGTGTACTGGATGGTAGTCGATAGTTGTACTGGACAAGTGACTCATATGCTGCCCAGACACGTGCTTTTCGGATGCAGCAAACTCGACAAAATTGAACTCGGTAATCAGCTCTTTCAAAGCCAGAATGGGCGCGCCCGTTCCGCTACATCCTGTGCAGACCACCTATGCGACGCCCAAAGCAATTGGGACTGCCTTTCTCCAAGCAGCAAACTCATCAATAATATGAATCCATTAAAAATATTTATCATATCATATCATATCTGGATCTTGATACGCATCATGTGACAAGGCACTAGTGGGTCTTCCAGAGGCACTCGAAGTTGTTCCAGATTCATCCCCATGTAAGAGACGCCGAGTTCAGCCCACCTGAAGGCTGGAGGTGACAGCTGCGGGTTCTCAATTTCGTCTGGTGCGCATTCAGGCTCAGAAGATGGTTCATCGGATCTTCGCGGAGAACGAGACCTGAAGTTGCAGCCAACTAATCAAATCATCAATCATCAATACAATTCCCAAAAACAGACTCCAAATAACACTCTTTGCTCAAAATGAGCCTGGCCTGCTTCTGCTCCCGGGCTGATTTGAAGGCATCAAAGACAAGAAGGGCATTGCGGACACGCAGGACAGCCAACCAAACAAATACCAAAAACATTCAAAAAAACATTGCATTCTGAAATTCAGGTGTTGCATACTGACATCATGGAACTGATATTGACATTGAGCGCAAACATGATTCACAAAGAAAGGAATCAGTGCACTCATGTGTTGCATACAGATTCAAACAGCAGGAACATGTTTTCATGACGAACTCGTCCTGTCCTCCAAAGGGAATCGGAACAATCTGTAGACCACCTTGCGGGGTCCTGATTCGAAAACCCCCTTTGAAAAAGAACCCTGCAAGTTAGCAACAAAACACAACATGACAACGCCAGCGCGAGTTTCGCTCAACGTACCGCAAACCAGTCCTTCGTACAGCATTAATGTATCAAATAGTCTCCTCCACGTCGAACACCTCGCAACATCCTGCACACTGAAAGCACCAATCAAGCTCCACTGCTGGGTAGCTCAACCATGGAAAAACTTGGCCCAAAAATAATCTTCCCAGTCCTTCCGAAAATGCTCGCACACGACCTCCCAATAGTCTGCTGCGTGTAGAAGACCTCCCAAAGTCCTGGAGGACGTTGGCACTGGAACGGAGGCATCAAGCTCCACTGCTATGTAGCTCAACCATGGAAAAACTTGGCCCAAAAATGAATCTTCCCCAGTCCTTCCGAAAATGCCCGCACACGACCTCCCAATAGTCTGCTGCATGTAGAAGACCTCCCAAAGTCCTGGAGGACGTTGGCACTGAAAAGGAAACTCTAAGTTGAATTTAGCTAAATTAAGTACAGCACAACACAAATCAATTAACGCAAACGGCGGTTGTCCTTCTCCGTGTGAAGAGATGGCATCAATAGTCTCCATGGCATCAATAAAAATGAACGTCAAGTGAACCAGAACATGACCAAACTAGAAGTAAAATGGCAGATGCAGTGGGCCGGCGGGTCAAAAAGCGCACATGCTCTGCACAACCATCCAAAGACAAAAAACAACGCAAGAACACCACCCCAATCACCAAAATATCAACCAAATCTGCTCCAAAACACGAAAATGTTGATAAAACTCACTCGAACCCTGCAAATCTACAGAAAAACACTACAAAACGCACAAAAAACGCAAAATCTATTAAAACATCTCAAAAAAATACCACAAAACACAAAAAAAACACAAAATCACTAAAAAAATCATAGCAACACCCTAAAAAAGTAAGAAAACATGTCCCAGAACCCTAAAAATATCTAAAAAATCCGCACAAACATCAAATCTTGCCACTTACCACTGCCACCCCCCCCAAACCAAGGATTTATAGCCATTTTAAGCGTTTTTCAAATGAGGGTTTTAACACTTCCACGGACTAATCAATATATATATATATCACCCCCAACCAAGAAATGATCTCACCTTTGCAGGGAGATCCCCAGCCACTTCCCAATCAGTCAGGCTTGGAAAAAGCTCCTAGATCACCTCCTACCCTTTTCCATGTGTCTTCTCAAAATGTAAACTGCTCCAGATCTCTCCCAAACTGCTTCCTGATTTGGGTGCCTGCCCGTCAACTTTAGAGTGTAGTTGCTGCGACCTTGCTCACTAATTCTACGCCAGACCAGAATCGAATTCCAGAGGCTCAAATCAAGGAGATCCTCTCTAGTGTGCTTAGGTGCCTTTCGGGATTGGCTTGCACCCTGAAGATCCGATGGCGATGTGCCTAGACCGCCACGTCCTGATGTGCAGCCCCAGCTACAGAGCCACACAAACCAGCGCCAGGACAGCAAAGGCTGTGACGGAAAATGAGATGGCACCTGCCAAAAAAGAACATGCAGGGATTTGGTCAAAAATGTCCAAATGTGTTGGTCTCTGGATGATCTGACATAACATGCTTATGCCACACCAGCTTGCCTGCAGCAACAATAAACCCTCCGTCTGGATTCTTTGCAAGGTAAAGCCTGCAAGGCTTGCGGTCACCAAAGCGTCTCACGAGGCAAACATCAACTGCGAACTCAAGCATTCCTTGCAACACGAAGTGGAACTTGCTAGACCTTCGCTGTTCAAAAAAAGTAGTGTTTTTGCCAGAATTCAAGTGCTTGATCCAGCGGTTGTGCTAGAAGCAAAGACTTACTTGCTACTCCTTGCAATCATTTCTTGCTGCTACTTATACTTCCTACCACCCTCCCTTCACCGCCTACTACTCTTTTAAGCAAAGGGAGGTCTTATCACTTCCTCTGCGTCGAGGAGCTGCTCATAGCTTCCAGAAATCGTCTGGTGGTGCTTCCACTCCTCACAAAGAGACCAAACATATTGGTGTTCTGGTCCACAATATGTCTTTTGCTCTTGAGCCTTGACCTTTCTCCTTTTTGTTCCTTTCTGTTTCTTATCGACGTCAAGCCAGGCCACCCAGGGTGCATTAAGGGTTCACTGCTTCCCAATTCGCCAAGCTTCATCTGTGACACCAGCGAAAGCCCAGTATATGGAGCCAATGGTCCAGCTAATGCCCATGCCAAGCAAAACATTCACCGTATTGCCTCAGATTCATCAGACGATCAGCTGCTCCGTACACTACGAATCAAGTCTTTCAATTGAACCTCTATCAGGTTCACCACGCTTGGGACAGATCAAACATATCAAATGTCAAAGTGATTGGAAGTACATCGGTACCAGTGTGGAGCATATTTGTCAGCGCACAGCGGAGTGAGGTCCCCCTCTCTTTCCATGGGTCAATCCTTGCTCAAGTCATCACTTGGCTTTTTCAAACATGACGTGTGATTTGAAAATGAAAACGAACGAAGAATCCATGTTGGTCGAGGCTTTCAGATCCGCTGGGCGACTGCCGGTGATATTTCCAATGGAATTGTCCGCATGTTCGTCGGAAATGGCCGCAGTTCTTGAAGCCAAGGTGTCCTCAGCACAAACTCAAGGAAGCATCAGCAAGGACACAGCCGGATGTGTCCGCTTTCTCACACCTCCCATTCTGACAGCACCGGATGTATTGAATTGCGGGAAAAAAAAACTGAACCCATCAAAACAAGTGTTTGAAAAGCACAGAACACTCAGCTCAGAGTTGGCCTTTGCACAAGGGATGACTGAGACAGAACAACTCTTCGCTTCACAAACGAATCCAACAATGTCGTGCCAGTCCAAGGGATGACTGCATCTTCTGTTGACTCTTGCCAGGAAGTATGTCACTGACTCGAAACTCGAACCTATAGAGTATAGCCGCTCTCAAAACAGCCAAACAGTTCGGCGGAATCTTCCTCAAACAAGGCACTGGTAGACTAGTACCCAGTGCCACAAGGGTGATGGCCGTCAAATCATCAGCCATCCCCACGGAGCAACCGAGCAAGCTAGCGGCATCGTTGATGACCTGAAGTCACCAAGAGAAGGAGCTCTCAATGCACAGGCACCACCAGTCACTCGCAACAAAATTAGACAGTCCAAACGACCAACTCTGAATACCTTCCGTGACGGAAAGGAGGAAACTTCATCTTTGGCTTGGAATTGCTCTTTGGAAGCACCGGGAGTGAGGGCCGTTCATGGCCAGTCCAGCGCATCCATGACAATAGACATGGGAGGTTCTGAGAGTCTGTCTCGCCCGACCGAGGCTCGTGCCACTGTGACGAGGCCGATCCCTATCAGCGAGCAAAAGAATGATGGATATGCTCCAAGAAGAGATGGCGGTGGAACCTGAGGATCCAAAATTCACCCAGATCCCCGAGCGACAATGAAGCAGCATCGAGGGAAGACTGCTTTCAGCAGAGAATTGTAGCAAAGAGACGATGAGGAAAATGATCTTCCAAGTTAGCGCCAAGCAGTGCATCAACCAATCAAAGGCAGTTGCTTCTGCTTGCCTCGATTGGTGAAAGAAGGGTTTGGCCGATCTTTTGATATGTTTCCGCCCTGATCGAGTGATGCTCAATAGAGAACAAGGACACGCAGCGCTGTTGTAAGGCCCGGGTGCTCTTCAGCACTTCCATTGCAGTAAAAGGCCTCAATGACCTGCTAAACCAGCTGAGAGAGGCAGAAGTCAAGACCAATTGAGAACAAACATGTTAATGTATAATATATGAAGATATCTGCAATAAAATATGTACACATACACACGTTTTATGCTGCATTATTCTCAACAGCAGAATGCAGTTGAGTTCCAACCTCTGGGGTTGGGAGTGGTGCACAGTTTGTCCACGGCATGCTGCTGCGTGCTGGGCGGGCTGGGAGTTGCGCACTTTGTCTACAGGGCTTGAAAACCGGAATTCCATCCTTTTATGCTGCGTTCGGGAGGGCGGGGCAAACAACAACAACAACAACAAGTCGGAGATATCGTAAGACTATGTTTTTGGTGGCAGAGTTCCCACCTTGGAACCTCACACCACAAGACTACAATGTGCTCTTTGCGCAGCAATGCCACATGCAGTAGCGTGTACCTAGCAGGACATTTCGTCACCCATGCCTTGCGCTCGGTTGCAGGGCATCCCTTGTACACACAAAAAAAATAAATCTCCCGCAGTTAGCAATGCCACAGGCAGTCGCGTGTGCTTAGCAGGGCATTTCTGCAACCGCACCAGCTTGTCGCCGCTACGAAGCAGACTTCCTTTCTGGTGTGCGTCCTGCCTCCATTGCGGAGCACTCATTCTTACATTCCATGAAACTTCGCTGTATGTTCTGTGCGCAGCAAGGCCCCAGGCAGTTGCAAAACGGTTCTTCACCCACAACAGTTCTTGCATTTGTAGCGTGCCATTTGTCGCCGAGTCTTTCTACGCAGCGCAGAACATGTTCAGCCAGGCCACAGGCAGTTGCAAGACGTTTCTGCGTTGGCAACAGTTTTGCACTTGTGGTGTACCTCCTTGCTCCGCGCAATTGTTTTACACACCATAAAGCTATATGTTCTATGAGCAGCTATGAGCAGCTATGCCGCCGGCAGTTGCATGTAGCTAGCAGGACGCTTCTGCGCAGGCAATAGTTTTTGCACTTGTGATGTGCCTCTTGCCCTTGCTGCGAAGCAGTCTTTCTTCACCATAGAGTTGCTCTATGCGTAGCAATGCCGGAGGCATGTGCATGTACTTAGCAGGGTGTTGCACATGGGTATCTCTGCTGGGAAGCATTCTTTCTATTCAGCACAAAACATGTGATATGCCCAAGGAGGCCACATACCTAGCAGGACGTTTTTGCAACCGCGACAACTTTTGCACTTCTAGTGCCCGCTACAAAGCAGCGTTTCCGTGCAGCCTGGCAGGACGTGTCTGCGCCGGCTACAGCTTTTGTACTTGTGGTGTGCCTTATGGCTCCGTTGCAAAGCTGTTGTCTTGGTAGGACCAACAGGGGTTGCATTTGCGACGGTTGGAGAGACTGAAAAGCTCCAGTCAATTGAGTTGCTACCTGGTGTTGGGTTGCAAAGCTGTGTTAATATATTTGTATATATTTTACATACTGTACTATGATTGTTGAGTGTATATGTATACTACTACATATTCTCATTACATATTATATAGTACATTTAAAAAAAACAAAAAAAGATAGTGCTTATCTTGGACTGGGCGGATTGGT